TTTGGCGGCTGTCTCCAGTTGTGTTCGCTCTTCCGCCTTGTCGTTTGGGGTTAAGTAAGAGGGACTTGTGTCGATCGTACGCCTAGGTCAAACATAACACCGTATACAAGAATGTTAGATGGACAAGACGTATGTGTGTTCAATTTACCTGTTTGCGCACAACTGCCCTATCTTTATCGGTTCCAGTGATTGTGACAGTTCAGTTCAGTCTGCACAGGACTAAAATGGCCTTTGCTACTGAAGCATCCAGTTAGTCATGTTGTCAGTGGGTAACAGTGGCTTTCAGTAATATGTACAGATTTGTTCCTTGTGATCGTCTCAAGCTATTTCAGTTTACAGAACGTTGACTGAGCATGTTGGATTAAATAAATGTGTGTGAAAATTGGCATGCATTTATGGCTTTTATCGCTGATTTCGAAGTAAGCAAAAACAGATAAGTATGGTGTAAAATTGAAAATTGTTCACAAGTGAACCTCTTTTAGGAAGGTGTTTATCCTCTGTGTATTGATTTGAATAGTATTATTTACAAGGAAGCAATTCAACTTACAGCACTCCCCGTCTACCCAGATGATCGGGGGTTCAGTCTTCAGTCTTCAGGATTGAGGGCAGAGGGCAGGGTGCCCGTGTAAGCGTATTTTACAAGCTTCTGGTCCGGTCACACAAAACAGAGGCAAACCGAATGTGTTAAGACCGGGGATTGTGATTGACAGACTGTTGAAATGGGGCCAAAATGTATCGCACCTCTGGGATAAAATGGTCTGATGACCTGTCAGAACATACACATGCGCGCGCAAAACGAGAGGGAAAACATTTTGCCAAAGAAGATAATGCATCTAGGGTTCTACGGTGAGAGGCATTGGGTCATGATTGCTAATCGAACAAAAACGACTCAAAAAAAAGAAACGAAAACAGATCGATAGTGGTGTTATTGTTTTTCTTGAAGGAAAAGTTACTGTTGTGTTTGTCGAACGGTGACAAATGGGACAAATGGGAACGGTAAACAAACCCGATGGATGTTTTCTCTAAGAAAATCAAATCTACGAGGTGTTGGTGCTTTGAATGCAAGCACCACGCGAAATATGTATCAGAATCGAAAGTTTTTGATGAGATAGATATATGCAGTAGAACATGTGCCAATTTAACATGTTTGAAGGTGAAACAATAAACAAATGCGGTGAGTATTCCCCGAATCAGTGGCTCGTTTGTGTCTAGTGACGATGAGCGTTTTGAAAATCCTCTGCACCTCGGTTATCAACCATGGTTATATCAAACCCCACATGGGGTCTCCTTTGGGTTTTGCAAAAGTGAATCGGGATTGCTATTTGTTCTGAAATTCCGTCATATATTCCGCTGAAACGTGAAAAATGGGAAGCCTGTTTACACACACATGCACGCACACACAAAAATGTATCCATGAAAGTGAGCGGATTGAGCCGAAACAAGTGAGAATCCGCGTCGCGCGGGTTCACTGGCCACGACTTGTTCAGCTTGTCAGTAAACTGGCCTTGGGATTGATGGTGCAATACTTGAGCAGTCGTCATCGTCATCTTCTGGCATGATATGGTGATTGTTGTTCTTCGTGTGACTTTCCTGTTCATAATTGTTACTGTTCACCTTCACCTCNCTCTTCATTACTTGGCCGGTAAATTTTAATACAATAGTTACCCGGATCTGTCACTAAGAGGCGGTTTGTTGGATTGTGAAATGTAAGTCCTTGTGGTCCGTTGAGTGGTTCCAGTTGGCTGTTAATCGAACGGAGATAGTTTCCGGCAGCATCGTAGATCTGAAATTCAGTGAAAGACCGCGAGAAATCATTGACAATTTCTGCAATAATTTATTAATGAGCATTTGATTTCTGGTGACTTTTTAAACGAAGTTAAATGAAGATAGAGTATTGAAAGGAAGTTGTTTTGTTTAAATCAGTAATCGATCAGCTGTATCCACCAATGGGAATTCACCTATGTCATGCAATGAAAACAAAGTTTGCTTGTGATCTTTTGAATCATGTGGGTGTTTAGCTATCTCAAACGAGAGGTGAAGGTAGAGTTTACAACATTCAAGACAGGTAGCTTCCCGCAACAAATTTCTCACTTTCAATGACTGAATCCATAACTGCATAGTTGAAAGACGAGCAGAAGAGATATCGATATAATGCTCAAAATCTCTTTCTCTGTTTTCATCGTAAACGACTACTTCAGTCATGTGTCAAGTTGAAGAAAAAAGATTAGAACCATAAATGTGGCAATGAAAGTAGAACTCAGCAAGCTTTTTTTTGAGAGGACACTTCAACCGAACGAATATGACTGGTCCTAGAAAAATCAGTCACAAATTGCCACACTGTTAACAGTCTTTCATTTTTTATAGATATTGGCGATGTGATATACATGTTTATTTTCAAAACATTCGTGTTGTTTACTGATGGTGTTGTTAGATACTACTCACATTTGTGAGTAGTCCACAAAAGATGGGGTTGGCGGTTTCTTTCAACGGTCAAAATTAAATAAGATCTGTTATAATGAATTACTACTGTTCGGTAAGGTAAACACAAGAATTAGTATCTAATAGTGGACTGTTCCACTAACTATCCTGTGTGTGTGGGAAATTCGAAGATCCGTTCCAAATGAGATATTTTGTTGTATGAATTCCAATTTACCGATACCCTGACATTTTTTCATAAAAAACGACTATCCTCGACCAGGCACCCACAGGCTTGTGGAAATATGAGAGTAGAGCACTTATTTGTCCGCGGGAATATTCAGCGACTCTAACCTTAACTATTAGATCAAAGAATTGTTTAAGTAATCTACCTTAAAAGTGAACCATTAGTGAAACTTTTATGGAATTTTACATCAATCATATTACTTGCTAACAATATCTTCACTGCTACCGGTTTTCTTCAACACAGCAGAACCCTTCGTGTATTTGAGGCCTTATGGTATTCAATGGTTTGACTTATATTTGGTTTATATTTTTCATCAGCTAAACAAATTCATCAATCCCGTCATGTTATTGTATTTTTTGCTTCCTTTTTTATTTATTGAACATACAAATGTACGGTCAACTTTCATGAAGGGGAAAAACAGAAATAGGGAAGATAAGCGGGGGCTGCAGAGTGGTTCAAACCCGGGACTCCCGAGTCACAGTAAGTGACCACTTGGCCACCCCCGCCCCTAGTGGTTAACATTGCTGACTAATAACATTTGAAACAGTCACCTGATATACTTTGTATTGTATTGCATTCTACTGTACTGAAGCTTTAGAGAGTTATACACGAGCTTCCAGTCCAAAAGAGACTCCCCTCGAAATACTGGCGAAAAGGGGAAAAAGTGGAACATCAGGCGTGCAAAAATAAGAAATAAATACTAAATGCATTACAGAGCCAAGAAAGAACACTTTCCCCGTTGGTCAGTGTCCGGGCAAGACAGGGTACCGAAGAGATTCTGTAGGCAGATATACGATATTGGATGAGTTTGTATTTGGAACTGGTGGAGGAGTGGGATTTGCATTCACACAAGTTAGTGTTTAAGGGAGGGATGGAATCAAGTAAAATATTGTCAGAAAACTTCAGGCCTACATCAATAAGCTGAGCATCACATATTGTCAACCAGAACAGATAACGGAACTTGCGAAACACGGCTGCTGATTGAAAGGTAAAGCTTCCGCAGTTTAAATGTGGCCTTCAGTAAAACAAACAAAATCACAGGAGAGTAGTAAAGGAGTATGGGGGAGAACACATTGTTGAACAAAAGCGTCTATCACTGACAAACCATAAGAGAAGCGGCGCAACCCTCCTACCTGAAAGGAGAAAACTTTCAACTTGCGAGAAATAGTTTGGGCATCTAAAGACCAATGAAGGTAATTTTCAGGTGTGACACAAGTTCTACATATGACTGACTATGCTCATCGGCTTTCTCTTATTCCGCACGTTGTCGGCGGGAGATGGGAAACGGTTTAAAGTAGAACTGCATTCAAAGAACTTTTCGTTATTAAGTATAAGACCGGATAAAGTGGAACAAGTAACGAAGTGGGATAAGCTAGCGTAACATACAGTCAGTTCTGATTGATTAGATACTGAAACAGAAATATCGATATCATCAGCATACACAGAATGTCGTACAGGGGGAGTAATAGGCAAGTCACTGGTACGAGTAACAACAATGTACGATGATAAGACAGCACTTTGAAGTATACCCGAACTATTGAGTAACGCCGCCGACTATCTTTTTTCCAATTTTACATGAAGATATCTTCGTGAAAAGTAATCACCAAGCCATTCAAGAAGAAAAGTGGGACCAGCAAACGATTGGAGCTTCTTAAGTAGCAAAGAGCGTGGCACCGAGTCAAAAGCGGACGAATAATCAAGAAGTGAACAATGCACATATTTGGCTTCTCGTTTAGAGACCTGCAGATGAAGAGAAGCAGAGAAAAAAACGACATCCGATGTAGAGCTGTTATATTTATATGCAAGCTGATAAATTCATCGGGGGTGTTGAGAGATAACTGAAGACCATTTAGAGCCGACCTAATCAGCGATTTCAAATCAGTGAAAGTGGGAGTAATTGACCAGTCACATTTCGCAATTAGTGCCTTCGACGTTCCTTTGGGATGGATGTAATTCTCACCGGGCGCCAACACACCGGAATACTTCGAAATCCGAGTAATTATTCCATTTTGCCTGTTCGCCGAGCTTGGCAATTTGTTTGCAAACGTTTCATCACCAGCCGAGGTGACATCATCAGTGCTTGTGAAGTGGCCGAGTAATTAGTTAGTTAGGTGTGCAATAATGTGAGACAGTGGCGCAGCACCGTGCTTAACAAGTGCAGGACTAGGCGCGGTTGACAATTTGAGATAACACATGTGTTTATGCATTTCACTAGAGATGATGCGATCAAACGAAGATGTAGAACTGGAATCAATGTAACTGGAGCATGTGCCAGACGAAGGATGAAAAGTGTAGTATTCGGTTGTTCAATATCAATAAAAGAGCTGGAAATAACTTTCTACCTCCAGTGTAGTTTGATCCCACAACAAACAGATTTGCAGTTCCTCGCCTCCCCCCCCCCTAAAAAAATAACTGACTTGCATAAAAAGAATCCAACTGTGGATCACTATTGATCAAGAGAGATAGTCGTTTCATTGCAGACTTCCCGCCACATTCAAATACACGTTCCTTTTCACGACAATGTTTAATAAAAGGTATTGACATTCTACTGTTGAAGGAACATTGTTATCACAGGTCAACACAAGTTTGTATACAAGGTTCAGATGAAGCAGGTATTCCTAGTATATTCGAAATGCCAATCCGTCCGTGCTAAAGACAAACGGAGCGAATGCGCGAAAACAAAAAACGCAAGACAAGGGGGCATCGATCTACCGCAAAAAGTTCAAATCTGCACATTCAACATGACAAATCGTAAATAGCCATTGTGAAACAAAACTCACCTGAACACGATTATTTCCCCAATCACTGATGTACAGATTGTCCGCCCTGTCAAACGCTAGTCCGGTTGGTGCATGAAGCATTCCGGGGTCCATTCCAGGCACACCAAACTTGAACAAATACAGACCGTTGAAATCGAAAACTTTGATGGAGTGCTGAGCATAATCAGACACGTAGATTTCATCCTGACTGTTGACAGCCACCGAGATTGGATTGGTGAATTGATTATCGGCAACTCCGCGTGCACCAAAACGATTGATAAACTTCCCAGTCGGTTTAAATATACAAACCATACATGATTTCTGATCCACAACCAGGATTCGTCCCCGACTGTCTGCTATAAGACCTTTCGGACCGGCCAAATAGCGTTGTCCGAATCGGGAAATATAGACCCCGGTAGGACTGAATACGGTCACACAATGCAGCTCATAGTCCGATATCAGATAGTTCCCGTTGATTGTTTCGGCTACATCCATCGGACGCATGAGTTGTCCCGGTTGATAGCCATATTCTCCGATACGAAATAAAATTCGTGCCTGAGCATCGAAAACCTAGAAAAGCAAAGAAAGAGAAGATAGTAGATATATTGTACTAAATATGGTGGTGGTTGTGATGCAGTGCTTTACTTGCTGTCACCGGTGTGCTAAGAACCCTGTGGTCCTAGGTGCGAGCCTCGTCACCGCCACCCAACTTTGGTGGTAGGCAACTTTGTTATCGACCGGATCAGTGTTACACCTAACCTAACGGAGCGTTATGCTGTTCGTCACTCCAAGTCCCGGGAATTGATTTACCGGTTCCCATCACTGAAGAGCATGTCATCGTGACTGTGGTTCGCCTCGTCTGTTTTCCATCACACCAAGGTGTACAATAGAAAAAAAACTAATTTTATCGCTGTTTTATCCAGTGATCGATAAGTTCAATTTTAAGCCCAAATCAAATTTGATAGGCAAAGGAAGCTTTTCTTCACAAGAGAGATCGAGAGGTAGAGAGAAAATTGAAATATATCAGTTTACTTGGTTTCACCGGAGTTAAACCACAGTATCTCTGGTTCAAACGAATCAATCATTTTTGTAGGCAAGATTGCAATTCAGCAATTCCAGGCAAGACCAAACGAATAGAATAGATCCAATTCACTGTTTAATTTTCAAAAACTAGACAGTTTGGTAAAAGAATATACTAATCCAAAGTAAACCCATATGTTTTTCATTAATTCACAGGTAATTTCACTTTCGGTTTTATCTATACTCCAACGGATTAGGAGAAAATAAGGAAAAGTTCCGCACATAGTTCAATCGGTCATTTTATTGATCGAATTTCAACAGAACAAATCAAATCGTTTAGCGTCAATACTGTTCATTCATGTGCCCAATGGAATTTATCGCTTAGTCGGTGCCAACATGAAAAGGCCAGAGTGCACAATTGTTTAGCAGTTTTCATTCAATGCTAAATTTGAATACAATTTATGCGGTAGATTAAATGAATGGCGTAAACTGTTTGGATCGTCTGTCTCCAGATGCTTCCAGGTTCTAGAAACGGTGTCTTTCTGACCAATGTATAGACTTTGTTTTCAAAATAACCAGTACATCTCCTATTTCATCTCCGGGTATTTCAAGAATAGTTATGCCAAACATTTTATGAGTGTTGCAATTATTGTTGAAGAACTTCATTTAGTGCAAACTGACCAGAAGCAACCGTGTCGGCGAAATGAACTAAAACTACAGTAAGAATTATCTCTTTTTCAAAATTGTATAATTGACTTCCCAATCTATTTTGCAGCCGGAACTATGTAGATATGTTATACGCGTTTTTGCTCCCTTTACCGTGAGTGCCTACCATGTTCGAATGAGTCGGCCATGTGACTTTCACTAATAACCGGGGTTAAAATGTGGCCTTTGGAAATCGATGGATTATCACGAGAGAAACAACCAAAACTTCATGTGAAAACAAAATTTAAATCCATTTATCATGAATAGCCTAACCGGTCGGTTAGCCGTAGACTGTAAAACGGAACTGGTGGTGAAACGTTGACCTAAATATCAAGTATGCAAGATATCGATCAATCATTCATTGCCCACTGACGAAACACAACGTGATCATCGACCTGCTGTTGTTCAGCACTGAACCTCATTGACCTCAGAGAAAGCATACGAAGCATGTTTGACTAAGGTGACTAAGGCCTGGTGGTGAAGGCATAGCATGCAATCATATAGGGCAGTAACAGTTGAATTGCGGAAGAGCTTGACGGAACGGAGTTACACATCTTTTCGTGCGGGTTGTGTTCTGTTGGATTCTGTTCGTGAATCAGAATATTTCTCTAAGCTAGTGGCTTGGTGAAGTCGATGATGATACAATGTATTCCATGGGAACAAACCGTTCGGATTGAAACCAACGCTTTTGTCTGATGTGTCTCACATGAATAGTGCATCGGCAGCGCATCAGCAAAACATTCATAATTTCAGGAGTGTGGAAACACTTTCAGTGTTAAATGAATAAGATTTATTTGTTTTAAGGGTAAGACAAGCTTCATCCGATCTCTCCCTCTCACACACACCGCTTCTTCTTCTTCTATTGGATTTAAGTGAATGCAAGTGTCAACCTCTATGACATGCCGCATAAATCACCAAGGTGATCGCTAAACGTTTGCCATACGGTGAAACTGTCTGTCCATCAATGTTTTACACATTATCCGTGCGTTCACAGTAGGCTGTTTCCTGTTCTTACTTTTATTAATATCCGGCACTGTTAAAAAAATTCTAGGCTTCTTTTTCTTCAAATTTTCATGTCGTTTGTGATATCGACTTCGAAATCCGGACTTTACCACTGAAAATTTGTAAATAACAGAGAAATAAATAGTTTGAATCATTTTTACCTAATTTATAGTGTAGAAAACGGTGTTCGAGAAGAGATTTCTTTTCACTATAACGCATCACGCAGTTATATATATATATATATATAACAGTACGGAAATCTGATTGACCGATTACAGCTAAGTTTATAACCATGACGGAGGCAAGGAAGCAGAGCAAGTGAATGTGATAAGGCCAGAGGTAGCCAGTGCTAAACAGTCGTGGAGGGAGAGGTCAAAGATCGAATGGAAAACGGTAGGGAGATGAGCAGCATAAAATGTTTAGAGTATCTACCTTGAGTTATCCCATTCGATTGTTCAGAGGCATTAGGCACTCCTGAATACATTGAGTGTGGGTCTCNTGATAAACGACAAAGAGTACTGAACAGCTGTTTCGTCCTGTTTGGGACTCGTCATCACAAGGAGTGAAACCCACACTAAAAACCATCAAGAGTGCTTGATGCCTCTGAACAATCGAATGGGCTAATCCAAGCATGATACTCTAAATGGTTTGAGCCATTCGCACAAGGTGATCACCATCGATCGTGTAGCTCAGGGATAAGGGTTTGAAGTCCCGGCCCAAATGTTTGCGGTTCGAGTCCTGATAGGGACAAAAAATGTACACACTGTTGAAGAATCCCATGCAGGATGAAACAGTTGTCCATTGCTCTTTATCGGTTATCACAAACATTTCCATCGCAGATTAAAATGTTAATGAAACTTGTGAGCTAAGAAGCGAAAGCGGGATAAAGTAACGTAAAATACACTAGAAACTTTCTGTCATGCATAGCATGTGATGTAATCGGGAACGGACAGAGGAGACAAAAATAATTAATTGTTAAAATTTTGGTAGATGATATTGGATAAGGGGGTTGGGGAGGATAATTGATGCTCTGCTTTATGCACAAGCAATCTGCTGTCCAGATCAGCGGGGGAGGGCAATAACAGTGTCTGGATCAACTTCTCTTGCTTGCATAACACTCTGGATGGAAAATGCGAAGTGCAATCGCCTGGACCGTCGTTAAAATACGAACGCAACTAACCACTCCTTTGTGCAGGGCTGCAGGACAGTGCTCGGAAATACGTCCTGATAATCGCCCGGTCGTATGTTCAATGTATCGCGTAATACAAGTGCAACTTTGTCCTCTCATCGCCTTCGCGTTGACTACCCCTATCGTGGTCACATTCGCTTGCTCTGCTTGTTCACCTCCCTCGTCGTTATAAACTGAACAATTAGTTTCATCTTCTTTTTCATAATTGTGTTCAAATGAAAAAATGATGAAATATCACTTTGTAGCAATTCTACTGACTAATCATTCTCACTACAATAGTCGTGCTTCATATTTCATAAAGTTGGAAGCAATATCGATTTATCGTTTCTTATGCGCTCGAAGATCACACTGATACCCAGATCACGAGGATTTTGCTGTGAGATTTTCTCTAGAATAATTCCCTTCCACTTTGCTTAACCAAAGCAGATCTTACTGGTTTTCTCGTATCTGCTATTTTTTGAAAAATAAACTAAATGTAACTTTGCAGATAAATTCCGTGAGGACAATAAACATGGTACTCTAAAGACATAATGAAACTGATATTTCACGTGGATCGTGGGAGTTTCATCCAATATCAGTTACCAAACGGCAAAAATTAATTGAAGCTTCGTGAATCATAGCCATATTGATGAACGTGAATACCGAATACAGGTTACTTCAAAAAGGCTTTATTTTGTGCACCTATTTGAGTAAATCAAGAATAAATGGCGAGAAAATGATTATTCGTGTGATCTGAATGTGACACACACTACTGACACACTGCTACAGAAGTTAATATATATATATATATCATAATAATTAATATGTGAATGACTGTACAAA